ATTTTTTCTATCAAGAGCCCCCTCTATGCCTGTTTTCAGATTTGTAAAACAGAGATGATAATTCCATCCTCTTAGGGCTGCTGTGAGGATCAAATGAGATGTGAACATGCCTCACACTGATGGGCCACAGTGGGTGTTCCATAAACATTTGGATCAGTCTTCATCTCTCATTCAGTTATTTTAAAAAGAAAATAAGCAAAAAAAAAAAACGCATCCTCAGTTAGTGGTTGTTTCTGTCATTCCCAGCTGCTTTTTAAGCCTCCTTGTGGTGGTCAGAAGGGTAGCCTAGTTTGACATTCCTTTCTAGAGATGCTTCTCTCTAGTCATTATGAAGCAATAAGCCGATGTCCCCATTGAGCTAGATGCACTGATAGCAAGTAACAGAACCAAAATAGACTAGAAGTCCCCAACTTGACATATGTGCAATGTCGAGGGGGTGATGGCTAGGGGTGAACCTATTTGGACTGTATTTGCACTATGAGGTGTATTCATCCTCAAAATAATGGAGGAAAGGAATGCATACTAAGAAGAATGCAAGCACTAAGCCCAGAGGAGGAAGTGACCCAGAAGGAAAGGATTCCATTATATTCCTGAAGGCTTGGAGACTGACTGCCCCACCATTGCTTCTAGAACTGAGATTGTGCTCTTGAAATTAATGGAAAATTCAGCTTCTTTCAGAGGGCATTCTCTTTGTGTGACCCTGTTTGGTACCACCCTGGATGGCTCCTGTCATACCACCATTCAAAGGACCTTTGTTCGTGTAGCATTTAGAAAGGGCAGATGGACTTGAAAGTTGAAGGAAGTACTACATCAATGGAGCAAGCAGTTACTGCCCACTTCCAAGATTCAGCAGACTTCCTGAAAATGCGTCTCTAAAAGGGCCCTCCCGTTTCCATAAAGCTGCCAACCCCTATTATTATACCTGTTGGTGTGAAAGCTCATCTTGGAGGTCCTCATCTACACTGGCATCCTCAGGAGAGGTCAGAACTAGGGAAGCTGGGTCCTATTTTAGAGATCAGTTATTTAAGGCAAGCAGCAGAAAGGCCTTTAGATGCAAATGGGCCGAAACAGAGAATTCAGGATACCCTGTTCTAAATTCAGACCACACTGCCCTTTGAATACAAGGGCTCCAGGAAGAAATGACATTCCCTGCAGTTGTGGGACTGGATTTAGAAGTTGGGGCTCCTGGCTGAGTCATCAGTACCTATTTTTCCCTTTCAGCCCTGTGATACAGCTTCCTGGGGCCCCATTCCCAAGGCATCCTGACCACTCCTGTCAGCCCTGACTGTCAGAAAAAGGAGAGACACAGGCACTAGGGGATAAAATGGCAGAATGAAATCAGAGAGATGCCATTCTGCTTTATACTTGCCTGCCACCTCCCCAGCATATGGCTAAGAGATGGGAACTCCACTGCCTTTCTGAGGACACAGTAGGAAGCCCGGAGACTGAAGGAACAGGCTGATCAGTCATCCGAGGGACAGAGCAAAGAGGGAGAAGGCTCCATCCCACGGGCAGAGATGGGACCAATGAGACAAAGGCTGGCCTGAACCTGGTGTGAGGGCTGTGGGCTCAGATCCCAGTGTATGTGCTCCTGTCCTCAGGGAGTGAGGGGCAGGCATCATAGGGAAGACAGGCTGAGTGGAGAGGAAGAGCAAGGAGCTGGGTGAGCAGAGGCCAGCAGTCCTCTTCCACTCGGATCTGCATCTATAAGGCCTGAGGTTGGGGGTCAAGGCCTCACAGAGCATAGTATTGACACTTGCTGCCGCTGAGGCACAAGGCCATGTCTGAATCAAGGCTCATTCATGCAGGACCCAGGTCTCTACCTTCTCTCAGAGCAGACCATGGCATGGCTGCCCCCAGGAGTCTGGTTGGGTCCCTCTGTAGTTACAGCTGCAATCACATAAAGCTGTATCCCCTGCTCCCTCCAATCATGTAGGACACCGGGGCTGAAGGAGCCTTGGAAGCCCAGGAGACCATGCTCCTTATTTTACAGAAGAGGCCACTGGAGCTTAGGGTGTTTCCCTTCCCAGGGCCTTGTGGCAGGGGGAGGGACTGAAATAGTCTCCCAAGCCCCAGGCCTCTCTCTCCAGACATGACACATTCAGCTCCTGGCAGTGGCTTCTCGGGAAGTGTCATTCTTAAACCTCTTGGTTGTCTCCCATAGGGTGAGAAATCCCTTTTGAGCAATGGACTCTTTTGTTCTTGGAGGACTCCAAGCCCTGTTCTGTCAAGATAACCCCTCAGGTAGGAGGTTCCACTTCTGAGCTCTTTGAGAAAGAGCTACTCTGTTAACAGGGGATGCCAGTCCTCCAAAAGTACATCTTATCCCTTTACAGAGACTAGGACCAGGGAATCATCCCCCTTCTACCCATTCTCAGGTGCAAAGGGGTCTGGGACTTGGAGATTCACAGGAAAAGCTAGGCATGGGGCACACGTCCCTGGAGAGGCAGCCTCTTCTCAGAATACCTCAACCACTATTTCTGTCTTACATATTCAGGAATGTCCCTGTACCACCGTAGTGACCCAGTCACTCTTCGCTTAAGCTTCCAGCAGCCCCCGGTTCTCACATCCTTTATGTTCTGCTCCCTACTTGGGTTTCCAGGCTCTACTTTGCCTGCCTGGCTCCAAGAGAGCCGACTCTCTTTCCTGTGTCCTAGCTCACAGATCCAATGCTGAGCCATGCTGTTAATGCACCTTCAGGTTTTGTTTTTAGCCCCCAGTATGGCCTTCCGACCTGTTCCAATCCTTCCTTCAATGTCACATCGCCTTTTCCTCCTTAAGCTCCCTAAACTCACTCCATACTGTCCCCTTAGAACAGCACCCATTCATTCATTCATTCATTCATTCATTGATTTTAAAAGATTTTTATTCATGAGAGACACAGAAAGAGGCAGAGACACAGGCAGAGGGAGAAGCAGGCCCTCTGTGGGGAGCCTGATGCAGGATTCGATCCCAGGACCCCAGATTTATGCGCTAAGCTGAAGGCAGACGCTCAACCACTGAGCCACCCAGTGTCCCTAGAACAGCATTTTAAACCCAGATTTTGTTGAAACACTGATTGCTGGGCCTCATTCCCATAATTTCTACCTCAGTCGGCCTCGTGTAGGGCCAGGAAATGGGCATTGCTTGCAAGTTGCCACATGATGCTGATGCTCCAGCAATGCTCCGTTGAGTACTGTTGTCTTAGAATACTTCTCACGTACTTTCTCCTGTGGACAGAGATAGTCTTAAAACCCCAGTAACTGGTGATGGCTGGCCTGGGGCTAGATGTCAATATAAATTCCCTGAACATATGGGGTTGGTCACTTTAGCTTTAAACGTGAACTTAATCTGCACTTTACTCTCATGTAATTGGAAAATCACTGCCAAAAATTAAGTGTGACTGTAAAGGTTCTTGGTGTCCCCTGAATTTTGAGATTTCCATCCCATATCCCTGATCTTTTTATTTGTTTTATTTTATATATTTTTAAAAGATTTTATTTCTTTATTCATGAGAGACACACAGAGAGAGGCAGAGACATAGGTAGAGGGAGAAGCAGGTTCCCTGCGGGGAGCTTGATGCAGGACTCAATCCCAGGACCTCAGGATCATGCCCTGAGCCAAAGCCAGATGCTCAAACACTCAGACACCCAGGCATTGCCCGTCTCCCTGATCTTGCTGTCTGTTTCAGTCTCTGGGACAGCCAGCATGCCTGGCCTCCTGGCTGTGGGCCCTGGTGGATCAGTCACCAGGAAGCTGGTTGCATTGCAAGGACCTCTGGGATCTGGTGGTGTCTGGGAGTGGCTCTGACCAAAACACCTTGGGAGCATCCCTGCACACTGGTTTTTCTCCTTCCTCGTGTTACGTCTCCTCCAATGTCCTGCCTGCCTGCCAGCCTTTTGGATCTTGGTCCACCCAGCATGCTGTCCTCACTGGAAACTGACCTTGGCAGAGGTCATCAAGCAGTCCAAAATTATGCAATAGGGAGCATAGGGGACTAGCATTCCCCAGGGAGATTGACTTTTTTCTGAGTGTTCCTACCTCCTTCCTCATTTTGGAGATAGGTGGGGTCAAAAACCATCCAGTGCTCCAGAGGTGAACTTGGCAATTGTTGCAATAAAGTAGACCCTGCACTTTCGCTGAGGCCTGTAGGCAGCATGGGTGCTCAGGACCCAGAGATCCCTCTTGGAGATGAATCTGAGGAGCCACTTCTGAGGAGTCCATTAGTGATCAAGGTTCACTTGTGCCTGGCAGGCATGTGTCAGGACTGTCCAAGGGAGATTGGGCACAGATAGTTTTACAGGAATCTATTTGAATCCTTAGGTTCCATACGTCCTTCTTCCTAAAACTGATATGAAGAAAACCCAAAAGAAGGTTCTCCTTCACTATCCTCCCCTTCCTCACCCCCCTTCCACCACTCTTCCATGCTCTGATCTTCCCGTGGTGCATTGCCCCAGAGTTTAAGATGTCTGAGGAGCCAAAGGGGCATTTAAAATATCCTAGCTGGAAAACTGAGTGACTAATGACTGGCCAGGGAATCTTGCATATCACATAGTTTTCCATGTTTTCATTTAGACAGAATTGAAGTAGGACTTATTAATCAACTGATCAACTGATAGATCATTGGGAAAAATGGTGATCTTTCAGTACTTGATTTGTGCCATATACCTCTAAGGGAAATTTATAAAATTTGAGTGACCCTGCTATATAACAAAATATTGCACATGCCTATTGACATATCATCTCTGAAAATGAGAAATAGGAATATAATTGGTGATGAGTGAGGCTTTATTCTGGAAATAATTAATATTCATGATATGAACTAATTTCAAGGAAGTCATCTATAGCATTGAGTGGGATTTTCAATAAATATTTATTTTTGTTTATAAATACCCAAATTTATAATATATGTTGTTTAATCAATAGCATTTAATAATTGTAATAATCAAAAGAAAACACATTAACACTTAGAGCCTCATGCTCATAAGACATTTCCCCCCTATTTTTATGTTTTTTTAAAGATTTTATTACTTTGAGAGAGAGAATGAGCTGGAGGAGCAGTGGGAGAGGGAGAAGCAGACTCCCCGCTGAGTAGGGAGCTCACTGCGATGCTCAATCCCAGGACCCTGAGATCATGACCTGAGCCAAAGACAGATGCTTAACTGGCTGAGCTGCGCAGGTACCCCTATTTATATGTATTTTAAAGGAAGCTTACTGAAGCATGGCACAAACAAAGAGGCTCAAGTAGTGAGTGTCCAGCTCAGTGATTGCACTAAGTGAACATCCTTGTAACTACCACACAGATCAAGAAAAAGAATATTTCTAGCACTCTAGGTGTGGGATGGTTGGGTCACAGGGTTTATATATGTTCACCTTCTTTAGACACTGCCAAAATGTTTTTCAAAATGTACCAATCTGCATCCCCACTAGCAGTGTGTGAGGGTTTCAGTTGCTCCTTATCCTTGTCAACGTTTGAAGTTGGCTGTCTTTTTCATATCTACCACCCTGGTGAGTAGTAGGATTATGGCTTTAATCTGCATTTCTTTGGTCGATTAACATGAGCACCTTTTCATGTGTCTAATATGTGATTAGTGAGCATTTGTTTTTTTAAAAAAGATTTTATTTATTTATTCATGAGAGGCAGAGAGAGAGAGAGAGAGAGAGAGGCAGAGACACAGGCAGAGGGAGAAGCAGGCTCCATGCAGGGAGCCTGAGGTGGGACTCGATCCCGGGTCTCCAGGATCGCGCCCTGGGCCAAAGGCAGGCGCCAAACCGCTGCGCCACCCAGGGATCCCCTCTTTTTATTGGTTTCTTAAAGTGTAATGTCAGGTTATTGATTTATTTCTTCTTTTTAAAATGTATATATTTACAGCTCTCAGTTTTTTTGAGCACTATCTTTGCTAGATCTCATAAATTTTTTATGTTGAGATTTTTATTTCATATATTTCATTTCCTTTCTGGTTCTTTTTTGACTCCGTATTTTTAAGAGTGTGGTATTTAATTTCCACATATTTATTTTTCCAGTTTTCCTTCTGTTTTTGACTTACAGCTCTATTCTGTTGTGATCAGAGAAGATATTTTGTGTGATTTCAATCATTTAAAATTTATTGAGACTTTTTTGGGAGGCCTTGTAAATTAAGTTAAATTTAATTTAATTTTTCTAAAATGATGAATATGAGATCTACCTTCTTAAAAATTGTGAAGTGTACAATACATTATTGTTGAATATATGTACAGTGTTGTACAATGGATCTCTAGAACTTACTCATCTTGCTTAACCGAAACTATGCCCATCAATTAGTAATTACCAATTTCCCCCTGGCCCCCAGCCCTGGCCAACCACCATTCCACTCTGATTCTGTAAATTTGACTATTTTAGATACTTCATATAAATGAAATAACATGGTTGTTTTTTTTCTCTGACTGCTTTATTTCATGTAGCAGAATGTCCTCAAGGTTCATCCATATTGTCACATTTTGCAGAATTTCCTTTTTTATGTGGCGTTTCTTTAAAAAATATGGAACAATTCACAAATTTGCATGCTGTCCTTGTGTAGGGGTCATGCTCTTCCCCTCCATAAAGAGCCAGTTTTAGTATATGTACTGTTGAAATGAGCATCCTTCTTTTCTTTAATGCTGAATACTCCATTACATGTATATACCACACTTGTTAAATTCATCTGTCAATGCACATTTAGGTTGTTTCCATATCCTGGCTACTGTGAATAGTACTTCTGTGTACATGGGAGTGCTAATACCTCTTTGAGACACTGACTTCAGTTATTGTGGATAAATACTCAGAAATAAGATTACTAGATCATATGGTAGTTTTATTTTTAACTTTTTGAGAAACCTCCATACTGTTTCCCATAATGACTGCACTATTTTTCATTCCCACCAACAGTATACAAGGGTTCCAAATTCTTTACATCTTTGGCAACACTTGTCTTCTTTTTTAAATAGCCTTCCTGACAAGTGTGATATGGTATCTCATTGTGGTTTTTATTTACAATTTTCTGATGATTAGTAATTTAGATCATTTTTTCATATATATGTTGTTGCATTTGTATGTCTTTTTTGGAGAAATATTTGTTCAAGTTCTTAGCTCATTTTCTACAAAACATTGATGAATGAAATTAAAAAACCAAACGCATGGAAAGATACCCTATGTTCATGGATCAGAAGACTTAATATTGTTCAAATATCTATATTTCCCAAAGCAATCTATAGATTCAGTACAATCCTATCAAAATCCCACTGGCTTTTTAAAAATAGAAATAGAAAAAAAACAATTCTGAAATTCATATGGAACCATAAAAGACAATGAGTAGCCAAGTCAATCATGAGGAAAAAAAGTACAAAGCTGGAGGCATAATTCTTCCTTATTTCAAAATGTGTCACACAGCTACAGTAACCAAAACTATATGGTACTGGCATAAAAGTAGATATGTAGACCAGTGGGACAGAATAGAGAGCCTGGAAATAAATCCATGTATATATGGTCAACTGATTTTTGACAAGGGTGCTATGAATTCACTAGGGGTAAGTGATAGTAGTCTCTTCAACAAATGGTATTGGCAAAACTGGATATCCACATGTAAAAGAATTAAATTGGACCCTTATCTTATACCTTACACAACAATCAAGTCAAAATGTACTCAAGACTTAAATATATGGCTTAAGATAAAACTCCTAGAAGAAAACATATTGAGAAAGCTCCATAATACTGGTCTTGGCAATGATTTCATAGATAATACACTAAAAACACAGGCCACAAAAGCCAAAATAGACAAGTGGGACTATATCAAACTAAAATGTTTCTGCATAGCAAAGGAAACAACAGAGTTAAAAGGAAACCCATAGAATGAGAGAAAAGTGTTTGTGAACCATAATCTGATGAGGGGTTAACATCCAAAATATATAAGGAACTCTTACAACTCAATAGCAAAAAAACCCTAATAACTCAAAAAGTGGGCTATAGACTTGTGGCTTAACATATACTCTATCCTGAGAAGAGTCCATGTGAACATGAAAATGTATGTTCTACATTTTGGGGGTGGAATATACATGTATGTTAGGTCAAGTTGATTTATAGTGTTGTTCAAGTCCTCTATTTCATTATTGATCTGTCTGGGTGTTCTATCCATTACTAAAAGAGAGAAGTGAAATTTTTGACAATTGTAAAACTATTTCTCCCTTTGAATTTGTCAAATATTGTTTCATATATTTGGGGACCCTTGTAAAGTGTGCATATGTCTATAATTGTTATACTAATTCTTGATAAATTGACTCTTTTATCAATATGTAATGCCATTCTTTGCCTCTTATAACATGTTTTGATTAAAGTCTATTTTGCCTAATATTAGCATAAGCACTTCAGGTCTCTTGATTATAGTTCGTATGGAGTATCTTTTCCATCTTTTCACTTTAAACCTATTTATGTCTTTGGGTCTAAAATGAGTGCCTTGTTGGGGTACCTGGGTGACTCAGTCAGTTAAGTGTCTGCCTTTGGCTTAGGTCATGATCCCAGGGTCCTGGGATTGAGTCCCATGTCAGGCTCCTAGCCTGCCTCTCCCTCTGCCCCTCCTCTCCTGCTTGTTCTCTCTCTCTCTCTCAAATAAATAATAAATAAAATCTTAAAAAATAAATATAAAATAAGTGTCCTGTAGACTATGGAAGGATCATGGTTTGTTTTTTAAGCCCATTCTACTAATGCCTTCTTTTTAGTTGGACAGTTTAATACATTTAAATTTAAAGTCAGTACTGAAAAAAATAAAGTCAGTACTGATAAGGAAGGACTTCTGCCATTTTATCATGGTTCTCTATATATCTTATATCATTTTGTTCCTCAATTCCTCCAATACTGCGTTCTTTGGTTTATTTTTTTAAAGATTTTTTTAATTTATTTATTCATGATAGTCACAGAGAGAGAGAGAGAGAGAGGCAGTGACACAGGCAGAGGGAGAAGCAGGCTCCATGCAGGGAGCCCGACGTGGGATTCGATCCTGGGTCTCCAGGATCGCGCCCTGGGCCAAAGGCAGGCGCCAAACCGCTGTGCCACCCAGGGATCCCCGTTCTTTGGTTTATATTTTATTTTTTGCAGGTGCCATTTTAATTGCTTTTTTATTTCCTTTTCTGTTTTTTAAAGTTATTTTCTGGGAAGCCTGAGTGGCTCAGTGGTTGAGTGTCTATCTTAGGCTCAGGGCATGATCCCGGAGACCCAGGATTGGGTCCTGCATCGGACTCCCTGCGTGGAGCCTGCTTCTCCCTCTGCCTGTATCTCTGCCTCTGTGTGTGTGTGTGTCTCTCATGAATAAATAAATTAAATCTTTAAAAAAATTAAAATAAAGTTATTTTCTAGGGGTTTACCCTGGGACTACAATTAACATTTTAAACTTGAACAATGTAGTTAGATAATTTTTTAAAAAAGATTTTATTTATTTATTCATGAGAAACACACAGAGAGAGGTACAGACATACGCAGAGGGAAGAACAGGCTCCCTCAGGGAGCCCAATGTGGGACTCAGTCCCAGGACCCCGGGATCACGCCCTGAGCCAAAGGCAGACACTCAACCACTTAGCTACCCAAGTGCCCCACGAAGCATCTTTCTTGATGGCTTCAGCAAAAGCCATTTTATCATTTGGGTTGGGCTACATGCTGGCTAAAGAGTGAGAAGGGTTTAAGATGATAAAGAGGTATTTTGATTGTTCAGGCCTCTGGTCATTCATTTACTTTTGAGGTTGGAAGAAAGCATATGAGCCCCACCTGTGTCATGTGGGGGTGATAAGGATATTAGGATGGGAAAGATTTGGGTCACCTGAGTGGCTCAGTGGTTGAACATCTGCCTTTGGCTCGGGTCCTGATCCCAAGGTCCTTAGATCGAGTCCTGCATCAAGCTCCCCTCAGGGAGCCTGCTTCTCCCTCTGCCTGTGTCTGCCTCTCTGTGTGTCTGTCATGAGTAAATAAATAAAATCTTTTTTTAAAAAAAGAGTTGACCACGGAGGAATGCTTTTGGAGCACAAAGGACATATTTAAAGCAAACTTGGGGGATCCCTGGGTGGCGCAGCGGTTTGGCGCCTGCCTTTGGCCCAGGGCGCGATCCTGGAGACCCGGGATCGAATCCCATATCGGGCTCCCGGTGCATGGAGCCTGCTTCTCCCTCTGCCTGTGTCTCTGCCTCTCTCTCTCTGTGACTATCATAAAATAAAAATAAAATTTAATAAAAAAATTAAAAAATAAAGCAAACTTGGAAGAAAGAAAGTGTTTATAAGACATGATGATTCTTCAATTGAGTTTCAGAGGGTGGTGAAAAGGAGTTTACTAGGTTTTATAAAAGGGAGACATTTAGAAAAAAAGAATAGTTCTTGGATGAGGCTAGATTTTCAAAATAGTATGTTAAGAAGTTTGATATATCTAGAAGTTAGATACACCTGTGGCTAAGTGGACAAAGATGAGGCTAGAGAAGTAGGCAGAGGCCAGATCAGGAAGTCTCTTGTTGTGTCCTAAACTAAGTCATTGGAACTTCATACTGAAAGCATTGGAGCTCCTGAAGAATTTTCAAAAAAGAATGTTTTCATAACTTCACCCTGTTCTACTCTGAAAAGCAGTGTACAGGATGGGTTGGAAGGGGCCAGACAGAGGTAAGCAAGTTAAGAGACTCGAGTAGAGACATGCTCTTTGTCCAACATCATGGTCATCAAAATACCAACTCTCTCCCATCCTTTTTTTAAAGGATTTTATTTATTTATTCATGAGACACACACACACACACACACACAGAGAGAGAGAGAGAGAGAGAGAGAGAGAGAGAGAGACATGGGCAGAGGGAGAATCAGGCTCCCTGTGGGAAACTGGATGCGGGACTCAATCTCAGGGCCCCGGGATCACATCCTGAGCCAAAGGCGATGCTCAACCACCGAGCCACCCAGGCGTCCCCGTGGTCAACTCTTGAACAACACGTTTTATAAGATGTTTGATAGTTTAATGTCTGCCTCCATTTTATTGTGTGTTCTCTCTCTCTGTTTTGTTTTTGTTGTTGTTGTTTGTTTTTTTCTTTGTTTTTTGAGAGAGAGAGAGAGCAGGGTAGGGAAAGAGGAGGAGAGAGAAGGAGACTTTTTAATTTTTTTCATCTTTTTAAAATAACTTTATTTTTTTATTGGTGTTCAATTTGCCAACATATAGAATAACACCCAGTGCTCATCTCATCAAGTGCCCCCCTCAATGCCCGTCACCCAGTCACCTCCACCCCCGCCCACCTCCCTTTCTACCTAGCTTGTTTCCCAGAGTTAGGAGAGGAGACTTTTTTTTAAATTTTATTTTATTTATGATAGTCAGAGAGAGAGAGAGAGAGAGAGAGAGAGAGGCAGAGACACAGGCAGAGGGAGAAGCAGGCTCCATGCACCGGGAGCCTGACGTGGGATTCGATCCCGGGTCTCCAGGATCGCGCCCTGGGCTAAAGGCAGGCGCCAAACCGCTGCGCCACCCAGGGATCCCAGGAGACTTTTTTAAAAAGCATTTATTTATTTTAGAGAGAGAGTGAGCAAACGGGGGAGGAGAAGAGGGCAAGGGGAAACAGATTTTCTGCTGAGCATGGAGCCTGAGGTGGGGCTCAGATCCCATGACCCTGAGTCATGACCTGACCCCAAACCAAGAGGCTCAACTGACTGAGCCACCCAGTCGCCCTGGAGAGAGAAAATATTTTTTAAAAGATTTAATTTATTTATTCATGAGAGATACAGAGAGAGAGGCAGAGACACAGGCAGAGAAAAAAGCAGGCCCCATACTGGAAGCCCCATGCGGAACTCAATCCCGGGATTCCGGGATCATGCCCTCAGTCAAAGACAGACGCTCAACCACTGAGCCACCCAGGCGTCCCTGGAGAGAGAAAATCTTAAGGAGGTTCTACATGCAGTGTGGAGGCCTGATCTCATGATCCTGAGATTATGACTTGAGCCAAAATTAAAAGTTGGTCACTTAACTGACTGAGACACTCAGGCATCCCTGTGTGCTCTTTTATAATGAGCAAATGTATTCTATTCAGTGTTTTCATCACCTGGTACATAGTAGAAAGCCAGAAAATGCTTTAAAGAGCTAAAACGCCCAGCACTTGCCAGGCCCCCCACCATTAAACCCTAAAAAACAAATTGTACCTTTTTTGCTTTCAAAATTCTTTGTGGAGGGATCCCTGGGTGGCGCAGTGGTTTGGCGCCTGCCTTTGTCCCAGGGCGCGATCCTGGAGACCCGGGATCGAATCCCACGTTGGGCTCCCGGTGCATGGAGCCTGCTTCTCCCTCTGCCTGTGTCTCTGCCTCTCTCTCTCTCTCTCTCTGTATGACTATCATAAATAAATAATAAAAAAAATTAAAAAATGAAGTGCAAAAGTTTAAAAAAATTCTTTGTGGATACCAGCACTATTTTAGTTTTATGAAACTTTCTGTTTGTTTCTACCTAATTCAAGGTGGATGATTCATACATGGCTGTACTACTGATGTACTTAAGAAGCTGAATTCCACTGATTATTCGTTTGGTGGCTCCCTTCAGTCTGTTCTGAGGCCCCAAGATGGCAAGGATCACATTTGATACATTGGTCCACAGCCAAGCCTGACTTATTGAATGTTTGCCAGGTAAACACACACCTCCATGTTTTCCCAAGTAAGCTCTCAATTATTTATAATTAGGCTGTAAATGTTTTCTTTTCTGTCATATACCATGTCTCCTTTTAGTCTCCTTAAAGCCCTAATTTCACATTTTTCCTCTTACTCTGCAACTATTTTTGTGTTCTCCATGTAGCCAATAGGAGGTGAGTCGTATTCTTGCCCCTACTTCCTCTGAATCTAAATGAGAGGCAGAGACAGCTAAATGGGAGTCAGACACCAAGAGTCCTGATGCAAGAAAGTCATGGCCTCTCCATGTCTATCCAATGCAAGTAAGGACAACACAGACCTGCAGGCCTAGTGTAGGAGCTCTGGGAAGCCAGACCAGTATCAATTCGGTATGTAGCTATGACGTCATGAATCTCATGGAAACTTTCTGTTGTTGAAGCCCCCTGGTCTGGGACTGCTATGGCAGTCCTCACAAATCAATATACATGAGTATGTTAGGAAGCATTTGTATTCATTTCTTCCACTGAAGTGCTAAGGTGTGGTGTGACCAGTTGGAAAGGATGCTAGAATAAGAGTCTGAGGTCAGACGACTGGGTGTCCATGCTTTCTGTTGACCTGCAAGTCCTGGAGCAAGTCACATTTCTCTAATGAGCCTTGGTTTCTGCCTCTCTGAGGTAATTTTACTTGCTTCATTTACTTTACTGACTGGATTCTAGGATCACATTTATAGCTATGAAATCACACTATAATTACGAATCAGCTTACTCATATCCGAGGTTATTATTCCCACCATTCTCATTATGGGGTCGAGGAATTTGCCTTCTCACCTACTTTCCAATTGTGCCAAGTGTAAGAAGGGAGCACAGGCTCTGTGATTTTCCTTCTTACTAAGAAGCAGAGGGCAACGAGAAAGAGGGGAGAGGAAGGTGCAAACTGGAACCAGTGATGTTCAGTTTGCTTTTCTCATAATTTGACCTCATTTGGATTAATTTTTCAGAGAAAACTCTCCCCACAGAAACCAACAATCTGGGACATCCATCTGTGTAAGGAAAGGATCAGTCTGTGAAGAGTATCTATTGAGTACCTACTGTGTGTACCAGGCACTACATTACAGGGCAAGCAAAGCACACAGGCCTTTGACTTTACAAAGTGTACTGTGCAATGGAGAAGAAAGAACTACTGAATAATTACAGACATAGAATTTAACTAATTGTGAATTTCCAACTGCACAAACATTTCTGGAGGATTGCAGTGTATCTCCTTGGGACTCATCTGGGTTCTGTTACAGTGCTGGCTAGGGAGGGACAGAGACGCCCATCATCCAGTCATGGCTACAGATGGACTTGGGAGAAGCAAAACGGAGGTGAGTTAGTTCCTTCTCTAAATGGGCAATGATTCAGAAGGGCTGGCTAGCATTTTATTTTCCTGGTATGATTTTTCAGGTTGCAGTGACGTTTACATATTAACGGTCCTGAAAGAAAAGATGAGGCCAGAATTGCTGAGCCTTGCCTGATGAAGCCTAGGACACAGAAAGTGCTTAGTAGCCAAGAGCAGGATTGGTGACCTGGAAGTGCAACGTGGTTCAGGTGCCGAAGGATGGCCCTGCCTCTCAGGAGGAGGCGGAGAGTGCTCTGCAGGCAGTTGGGAAGGCAACACCAAAGGACGTGGGCTGCACGTGTGCACATGCACGCACACACATGCATGCACGTGCAGTTATTCTTCTCTTTTTTGCACATCTTATTAGGAGGATCAAGGCTGTGAAACTTTGTTTGATGCCTGTTTCTTCGCAGTTCCTAAAACCAGCCCATCCTTTAGGAAGACAGAAAAGAAAACCATTCTGCTAGGACCGCACAGTTCAGGAAGGTATGATGGTGAATTTTAGGTTACAGCATGCCTGGGCAATGGGGTGAACAGGCATTTAGCCAAACATTCCTTTGGATGTGTCTGAGGGCAGTTTTGGTTGAGATTAACATTTGAATCCGTAGAGGGAGTAAAGCACCTGGCCTTCTCCAATGTGGGTGGGCCTGGCCCAAGCAGTTGAAGCCAACATAGACCAAAAGGCCATGTAAGAGGGAATTTCTGCCTGACTCCCTAAGCTTGGACAATTGGTCTGCTCTTTCCTGTGGACTGGAACTTATATCTTTGGTTCTCTTGGGTCTCCAGCTTGCTGACTGCAGATTTTGGGATTTCTCAGCCTCCATCATCTTGTTAGATGATTTCTATAATACATACATATGTATATACATACAAACATACATATCAATTCAACCATTATATCATCAGATCAATCCTTTGCAAAATAATTATGCCTTTCCCCACCTTTGAAACAGATAAAAACAAAAGAGTTTATAGAGAGAATGTTAACAACTCTGGCCAATTATTTATACATATAATATCATAAACCAAATATTAACAAACTGTGTAATTCTATCACATTTTCTCTGAAATGTCATCCATCATAATAAAAATCCTGATTTCAGGTATGTTTTGTGAGGGGGAGAAAAGGTCAATTCATATCAGGATGAATCTTTCATCTTTCAATGGGAAAAAGCCCTCCCCTCTCCCCCAAAGTCCAGGGCAATGATACAGGAGTTGTATTTTATAAAGAAGTAAAAAAAAAAAAAGATATATTCCCAGCTAAAAGTGAGATAACTCTCTCCATGAACCAATAGAGGATCCCAGACAGAAGAAAAAGGGAAAAATTAAAATTAAAAAAAGAAGAAGAAAAAGAAGGGAGTGGAAACCATACACAGCCTGTTAGGCTTCATGGCCAAAAGTAAATTGAATGACCAGAAATGCACATCCAGAGCTAGGGGTGGGAGACAGGGTAGGTCACCCACAGGAGGGGGAGGAGGGAGGAAAGGCAGAAGCTGTAACAAGTTTTCTGTTGTTTCCCCTGCTGAAGACAAACAGTTCTTTTCCAGGGGTATGCATGCTTGCCCCAGATTCAATCCTTAACATAGGCCTCTCACTTATGGCCAAGTTTTTGTGATTCAGAAATGGAAGACTTTGACCTCCTCCAGAAGACTCACTGTTTCTTTCCCTCTCTCTCTCCCTTTCTCTCCCCTTCCTTCCCTCTTTCTTTTCCCCAGCTTTATTGAGAGCTAATGGACATATAACACTGTATACATTTAAGGTGTACAAAGGTGATTTGCTATGAGTACATATTTTGACATGATTATCACAATATTGTTAGCACCTCCATTACCTCACATAGTTACCTTATTCTTTGTGGTGAGAATATTTAAAATTTACTCTCTCAACAGTTTTCAAGTATGCATAATAGGGTATTATTAACTAGAGACATCCTTAACTAATTATATAACTGGAATGTTGTCCTTGTTGACCAGTATCCCCCCCACTTCCTGAAACCCCAGCCCCCAGGAAACACGATTGTTTGTATGAGTTTGCCTTTTTTAGATTCCAAATATAAGAGATCATACAGTATTCTGAGCAGTCCATTATTTCTCATATTTTCAGGTCTCTCCTGTCTTACAAAACAAAAAAGCTCAAAAACACAAATTTGAGCGCAACAATGGACCAACTCCCCAGGAGCACTTATTAGAATGCCCATATTAGGGGCACCTGTGGGTTGAGGTCTGCCTTTGTCTCAGGTCTTGATCCCAGGGTCCTGGGATATAGTTCTGCATCAGGCTCCATGCAGGGAGACTGCCTCTCCCTCTGCCTATGTCTCTGCCCCCCTCTCTCTCTCTCTGTCTTTCATGAATAAATAAATAAAATATTTAAAAATAAAAATAAAATGCCCTTATTGGAGCCCAAGCTAGAGCCAATGCCTGAGGGCGTCTGGGTGTGGTGAAGAAATCTAAATTTAAGAAGTCCTAAGTTTGGGGATCCCTGGGTGGCGCAGCGGTTTGGCGCCTGCCTTTGGCCCAGGGCGCGATCCTGGAGACCCGGGATCGAATCCCACGTCAGGCTCCCGGTGCATGGAGCCTGCTTCTCCCTCTGCCTGTGTCTTTGCCTCTCTCTCTCTCTCTCTCTCTCTGCGACTATCATAAATAAATAAAAATTAAAAAAAAAAGAAGTCCTAAGTTTAAAAAACTCTTGCAAGAACTTCCTCCTCCCCTCCTGTCGGCACAGGGGAAGGTAGAGAGTGCTGGGCCCCGGTTAAGGAGACAGTGGGGCCTCCACCCTGGCCTGTGCCTCTCTGCTTCCAGGCCACCAGATGAGCTGGCACATGGGGGAGAACCCCGCTGGTCACGCCCTGGTGCCATGAGGAGGACTCCCCCACTCTGCCTTAGTGGCTTCCATCAGGAGGCCGCCTGGCTACTACCCCCCTGGCCCCCTGCAGCACCGTACTCAGTGCCAGAGAACCTGGAGGCCCTAAGTTCTGGAGCCAGAGGCATGGACTCCCTGATGGGAATGGCAGGGTTCCCTTGGGTGGCTCAGATCACACAGCAACTGCCCGGGGTAGACACAGGTAGAAGAGACAGCACAGGGCCACTGTGCATCCCTGGGCCTGGGAAAGGAACCAGAGGCGGGTCCCTCTGTGTCCCTGGGAGCAGGAATGCAAGGGGCAGTGCAAAGAAGGTCCCTGTGCCTCACCAGACACAGGAAAGGAATGAAATGCAGGTCCTTGTGTGTCACCGGGCGCGGAAAGGAAAAGGGTGGCCCATGGTGGGCCCTGTGTGTCCTAGAGATGCTAGCCTAGGGAGCTGGGCCCCTTTTATCCCCCAAGGCCACGGGACCTGGTAACCTCCAGCCCTGGCCTGGGCTTTAGCGCGAGTTGCAGGGACCCATGAGGTGCCTTTGTCCTTGCAAGGAGCTCAGGGAAAAGTGATTGGCGGCATGCCCCAGTCAGGCCTCTGGGGCGCCAGGGAAAGTTGTTCGCCCCGACGCAGTACCTACCTGAGCCACCAGAGGGCATGGACGCGAGCGACCGAGCTCTAGTCCTGCTAGGCTATTTCAAAAGGTCACCTCCAGACAACCCTGCGGCGGCCTGTGGACAGAAAAAAGGCACGGGGATGAAGGAGGGGCGGCAGGAGCGTGGAAAGAGGACACGCGGCCTGCCTCTGTCCCGCCGGACTCCCTTCCGCTGTTCCCCGCGACCCGGGCCAGGCCTTTCCGAGGTTGTCTGGGGCGAGTAGTGCCCTTCATCGGGGCGCTGGGACATGCTGCTGGGGCCATTCCCGCGCCTGCGCTGGCACCCCCGCCAGCACCCTCGCCCCGCCCCGGGCAGCCGACTTGTCACTGGCTTTTAGACGCGTCCCCCTCGCCTTTCCGCCTTTCCCCGAGTGCCTGCTTTGTACAGAGCCTTGTTATCCTAGGGCTAAGTGAGTGCGGGCTGTCTCAGGCGGCTTTGGGGAGAAAGAGTGGGGTGCAGTGGGGTTGCCCTGAGGGAGAGCAGATGGAGGGACAGCTGGAGGATCAGGGCCCTGGTGAACGTGCTGGAGGGTTGGGGCCCCTGTGGGGAGGGCAGCCAGCTTTGAGGTCCAGCAGTCAGGGAGGGTCCACAGCCCAAGGCGGCCACTTCTTGGACGCTTTGCAAGCACGAGGAGCAATCACCTTGCAGGAGTACTTCCTCTAGGCCAGGGTAGGCAACTGGTTCCATGCACTTTCGATCGCAGCAGGAAAATTGAGGCAGCTGATGAATGGTACAAGGAGAGACACCAGCTGTCCTTTCAGAAACATTCCTGGGGACGCGGGCGTGGCGCGTGCGGGCGGGGTGCCTGGGTGGCCAGTTGGTTGAGCTTGGGATTCTTGGTTTCAGCTCAGGTCCTAAACTCAGGGTCCTGAGGTCAGGCTCCCACTCAGCCGGGAGTGAGCTTGACAGTCTCTCCCTCCCTCTCCCTCTGCCACCCCGCCCTCCCTCAAGGACAGAAATCATTCTTTGTAAAAAGAAACTTGCCCAGGGATGGGATGGGAACAGTGTCATTTTCCATGATTGGCCAGGAAGAGCCATGAGTCGTTTTCTGCTTCACCCGGTCCATGGAAGAGGCCGGGTACCTCAGGGGTGTGAGCAAAGAGAGGGAGACCATGTGGAGGACGGGTGGCTGGGATACAGGTCTTGACCCCTGTGCAGACATGCACTTGACCACCTCTGTGTCCACCAGCGTTGCCATAGATGTTGCACTAAGAACCTTTGGATGTTGGTACACATGAGCATTGAAAGGGCTATCCATTCTAGCCCCGTCACCATAACCCTCTGGCACATTCTGTGTGACCTGGGACAAGTTATTCAGTGCTCCTGAGCCACAAAACTCAGGCCCCTCCTCTGTACCCAGGGCATGATACTAGCCCCCATCTCCTAGCTTTGGGTGAAGGCCAGGGGACCTGACCTATGCAGGAGGCTTAGAGCAGCACCTGGACACAGCAGGAGGAATGTGATCGGTGTCCTTTGTTCTTCACGCAGCCCAGGTGGCCGGTGGCCCGCCCTGTAGTGGTGTATTTTTTTCCCCAAGGAAGCCCCGCATGCCCTAGCAGGAGGCCGGTCATGCTGATGCTGGCTGAAGGACGCACCCCTTGAGTGGAGAGGAATGAAGGCTCGTGGATTTGCAGCCTTTGGAGGCATGGCTGCAGCTAAGATGCCCATGGCTGAAGGTGACCAAGGGTCACTCAGAGCCACCTGGACCTTCAGGGTTGCTCAGCAGAGGTGTGAGTGCTGCCCCCCACTTCTTCTGTGGCCCATATATGTATATGGAAACAGAAGACAGCCCACGGTAGGCTGGCAGCGGGGTCTCACACTGGTACTTGTGTGGTGGGTTCTCCTTAAGTCAAGTATCCTTAGCATGCTGAAATTCTAGAGCCCAGCTGCTGGAAAGAACATTTTACACTGATGGCCAGGGAGCACTGGAAATGTAGCTAGCACCAGAATTGGTATTTTCATCACTCGGGACTTAAATGTCTGTGTGTCTCTAGTGGCTCCCCATAGGACGACAGCACAGTTCTCGAGGGTCTGTGGATGGGCTGGGACATTTTATGTATCATTTGGAACTTAGATGCAGAATGGGACTTGTATGTGTATTTTTCTAAGAAGTGAATCCATGGCCTTGCCATCAGCTTCTTAAAACCATAGAAAGGCCAGGGGCTGCTGCACCAGGGCTGTAGTGGAAAGTCAGCAAGGTAGGGAAGGTGAGAATGGTCTCTGGTAACCACTGGTGTTCCTTCTTTCTGATTTTGGCCTCTCCTCAGCTGTGGGTGCCTCCACCCCATGCCTACAAAAAGAAACAGATCAGAATCTGAGACTGGAGGCCCCAGAGCCACTGTATCCCACCAGAAGGGGGATGGCCATGGCTCTGGGTTGTGCGATCCAGGCCTCCCTGAAAATGGGCTTTGTGTTTCAATACTATGATGCCCACTGTGAAGCCTTCTGCCAGCGCTTCAGGCAGTGAAGTGCCCCAGCCGCCCCTCCCCCTCAGGCTTTCAAGGGACTCTGGAAGCTTTGCTGCCAGTGGTGAGGCCCAGCACGCACTCCAAGGACCAGCTCCTGGAGCTGCTAGTGTTGTTGCAGTTCAAAACCATCCTGCCAACGGAGACAAGGACCCGGGAGATGCCACTGGGGCTGCAGAACACAGGAAGAGTTGTAGCGGTGAGAGACGACTTCTGCACAGAAGCTGAGCCAGTGGAGCAGCGGGTGAGCATTGCCTTTGGTGTCTTGGTGACGAAACCCCGCTAAGGAGTAGAGGCATCCGGCTCTGGGTCAGATGTTTGTCTCCATGTCCTCTTGGACCCCGGGATCCTGGGGAGGTCCTTTCCATCTCTGGATCAGTATATGGCTCACTTCTCTGGGTATCAGACCCAGTCCCTTCCTACAACAAAGACTTTGTAGTGCCCCCTTAAATACATGGAAATGAAATTCATAGGTTGGGGACATACCCACATTCATCCTCCAGTAACATCAATATTGTGTGGTAGGCTGTGCCGGCCAGATCTGGCCACAGCCTGTGTTTGTATACCTGGGAGCTGTAGCAGTTTTAACCTGTTAAAGGGTTGCTTTTTAATTTTTAAGGTTTATTTATTTATTTGGGAGAGAGAATGAGCACTAGGGGGAGGAGCTGAGGGAGAGGGTATCTCAGGCAGACTCCTGGCTGAGCGTAGAGCCTGATGGGGGACTCCAACTCACCACCCTGAGATAAGAACCTGAACCAAAACCAAGAGTCAGATGCTTAACTGACTGCAACAGCCATGTGACCAAAGGGTTGCTTTATTTTATTATTTTTTAGGGTTGCTTTATAGAACAAGTTAGGAGGATAGTAGGGGACAGACTGATGTGACCCACGAAGCCTAAAATATTTCCTATCTGGCTCCTTATAGGAACATGTTGCCAACATGAGTCAAGTGGAGCCCAGAAAGGATATAAAGGAAAGCGAACATAGTTTGTCATAATCGAATAAGCATATGAACACACACGCTGGGGCTTGACTGCACCGGAAAATCTCATGAGGTTGTCATGTGCCCCCATCCCATCTATGTACAGTCTCACTATGAAGGCAACAGTCACCAACACTGCTGATGGTGTAATTTTCCGAAGGGGCATCCCATGTTAGCAAATCTAAACAATAAGTGAGAGTAGTTGTTTAGTTTCCAAAGTAGGGCTTTCCTAGAAGATTCAAGTCATGCCACAATATGCAAAAAATGTTTTGTGCTTATATGAGCTGCAGGATAAGGTCTTGAGAGGATCTTTTACGTTTAGCGACAATGCTGAGTTTACTGAGACCCCACGTTTCTGGTGGTACCAACTGGGATGAGGTGGTGGATTCCTCTCCTCCATATAGTCTGTTCCAGTTGTGATTGTCTGACAAGGCTTCTCAAATTTCTAGTGCAGGCTAGGTCCACATGGTTAAGGTGCTAAGGTTCTTGAATAAAAAGTGTTACAAACATATAATTTTAAAAAATATTTTAGTTTTTTAAATTTTAGGGTGATAGAGCATGAGCAGGGCTAAGGGCAGAGGGAGAGAAAGAATCTCAAGCCAACTCAGAGCTGAGTGCAGAGTCCTATGCGGGGCTCAATATCACGACCCTGATATCACAAAATGAGCATAATCAAAGTCAGATGTTCCACTGACTGAGCCACCCAGACATCCTAAATATATTGATAATTTTAAAGATTTACCTCCATCTGTGTCTTTAATACCCAAGACAAGAATAGATGCTGACAGAGGAAGCTGGGGGGGTGCTTTCCCTCCCCTGCATGTCCCCAAAAGCTCTGTTGCATTCCTTCCTGGGTTCCTGTATGCTGAATCTCCCTGATCTGAAGGTGCATCTGATCTCATTTCCCACACATGCGTGTATTTGAAGCCAAGTGGACAAGTCCTGTGGCTGTAGCCGGTAGTAGGACGGAGGCCACAGTTAACTTGTTCACCTTTGTATCCTGACACCCTGGTCCAGAGTCTGGGACTGAGAGGGGATCTGAGGGGGCCCGGGTCAGGCATCACAGTGTTGGTGGGCTCCCATGAAAACTGAGAGGGTGTGCTGGGGTGGACAGCGGTCCTGCTCTGAAGCATTCATCTCATGGCCACGCCCTGGGCTCAGGGCCGAAGGGCCTTCCTGCCATGTGGTCATCAGAAGACCCCACAGGGAGGAGAAAGTATTGTCATGTCCACTTTACAGACCAGTCAGGGAGACACAACCAGGGGAAAGTGGGCACCTGGCTAGTGTCACCCGGATCTGGAGGCCCAGTAGCCATTCCCTGCCATGTGTGCTCCTGCTTCAGCCTCTGGGGCAGCTCCTCCCACAAGATGAGTGCAGGGGGACTCTGAGGCCAATTTTCAAAGGGTCTCCTCTGTGGTCAGTGCTGTCCTCCCAGCTGGGCCCGGCCTTCCTGGTGCCGTGATCACATGTCAGTTGATAAGGTATGCTAGTGAGTTTGCATTACAGGGCCATCCAGTTGTTAGTGTTTCTCTTTGTGGGCATGTAGAAAGAGTGAATACTCTGTAGAGCATAGGCTATCACTGATTGGTTCATTCCAAAATTCTTCCTGATTCCCTTTCATGTGCCAGGCACTGTTGTAGTCACTGATTCTTAGTCTTGAAACAAAAGGACAAAATTCCTGCCCTGATGGAACTTGCCTTCTGTTAATGCTCACTTGGCTTACTGAGCCATGGAGACACAGGAGAGAAAAGGGGTAAGTGGGGCCAGTGTTGGCTCTGGGTCCCCATGAATGTCGTCATGCTAAAGTGGCAGCACACCTGCGGTCACACAGGGAAGCCCACTGTTGGACTGGACAGATACAGAGACTGTGGATTCTCCCACTGGGTTGATGTGGGGAACATGCTTTTGAGACTGCCGGGAGCATGGCTCTGGTCTCCCAGAATGGATGATGTCATGGCACTAGAACCAGAGACCAGGAAAGATCTGTCTGGGCTGTGTTAGAAACAAGCTTTTAATAAGTTACATGAAAACCCACAACATGGAACCCCAATTTTCTGGGGCTCCAATGTTCTGTGGTGGAGTTTCCGAACTGATGTGCTGGGAATGAGTAGCAGATGTGCTGATGTACAGATCCCTCTCCACTCACTTAGGGTTCACTGCACTGAAGGAAAGGAAGTAAAACGGTCCTCTTGAGCATGGGTTGCAAGGTATGGCCCTTGGGCCCATGCTGCACTGCTGCCCAAGATAATTCTTAAACAATGACATTTCAGTAACATACCTGGAACCTAATCTATGTCTACAGTGGTGACTCTACTGTCCTCCTCATCATCACTGTGATTGTCGTGTCAATACAGGGACTTTGAGGTCTCTCGTCATGACTGGTTTCATCCATTATTATTTGTATTCCTAATTGCACTCAGTTCATTCCTCTGCTGAGGCTGCTCGCATGCGGCTTGAATGGTACATATCCCTGGTACCTGGGCTTTCTCAGCACCAACAGCCCTTCTTTGTCATGTTCAATGTGTAGTTCTTTGGTTTGTTTTGTTGGAAGTTTGGAAGGACTTCAAACACATGGAGGTTAAGGACCATCTTGCTAAAAGATGAAAGGGTCAACCAGGAAGTGAAGGAAGAAATAAAAAGACTCATGGAAACTAATGAGAATGAAGATACAACCATTAAAAATCTTTGGGATGCAGTAAAAGCAGTCCTGAGGGGTAAATACATTGCAATACAAGCATCCATCCAAAAACTGGAAAGAACTCAAATACACAAGCTAACCTTACACCTAAAGGAGCTAGAGAAAAAAACAGCAAATATATCCTACACCCAGCAGAAGAAGAGAGTTAATAAAGATTCGAGCAGAACTCAAGGAAATCGAGACCAGAAGAACTGTGGAACAGATCAGCAAAACGAGGAGCTGGTTCTTTGAAAGAATTAATAAGATAGATAAACCATTAGCCAGCCTTATTAAAAAGAAGAGAGAGAAGACTCAAATTAATAAAATCATGAATGAGAAAGGAGAGATAACTACCAAAACCAAGGAAATACAAACGATTTAAAAAACATATTATGAACAGCTATACGCCAATAAATTAGGCAGTCTAGAAGAAATGGATGCATTTCTGGAAAGCCACAAGTTACCAAAACTGGAACACGAAGAAATAGAAAACCTGAACAGGCCAATAACCAGGGAGGAAATGGAAGCAGTCATCAAAAACCTCCCAAGACACAAAAGTCCAGGACCAGATGGCTTCCCTGGGGAATTCTATCAAACGTTTAAAGAAGAAACCATACCTATTCTACTAAAGCTGTTTGGAAAGATAGAAAGAGATGGAATACTTCCAAATTCATTCTATGAGGCCAGGATCACCTTAATTCCAAAACCAGACAAAGACCCCACCAAAAAGGAGAATTATAGACCAATATCCCTGATGAACACAGATGCAAAAATTCTCAACAAGATACTAGCCAATCGGATCCAACAATACATTAAGAAAATTATTCACCATGACCAAGTGGGATTTATCCCTGGGACACAAGGCTGGTTCAACACTCGTAAAGCAATTAACGTAATAGATCATATCAACAAGAGAAAACACAAGAACCATATGATCCTCTCAATAGATGCAGAGAAAGCATTTGACAAAAGACAGCATCCATTCCTGATCAAAACTCTTCAGAGTATAGGAATAGAGGGAATATTCCTCAGCATCTTAAAAGCCATCTACGAAAAGCCCACAGCAAATAACATTCTCAATGGGGAAACACTGAGAGCCTTTCCCCTAAGATCAGGAACACGACAGGGATGTCTCCTCTCACCACTGCTATTCCACATAGTACTGGAAGTCCTAGCCTCAGCAATCAGACAACAAAAAGACATTAAAGGCATTCGAATTGGCAAAGAAGAAGTCAAACTCTCCCTCTTCGCCGATGACATGATACTCTACATAGAAAACCCAAAAGACTCCACCCCAAGATTGCTAGAACTCATACAGCAATTTGGTAGCGTGGCAGGATACAAAATCAATGCCCAGAATTCAGTGGCATTTCTAAACACTAACAATGAGACTGAAGAAAGAGAAATTAAGGAGTCAATCCCATTTAAAATTGCACCCAAAAGCATAAGATACCTAGGAATAAACCTAACCAAAGAGGTAAAGGATCTATACCCTAAAAACTATAGAACACTTCTGAAAGAAATTGAGGAAGACACAAAGAGATGGAAAAATATTCCATGCTCCTGGATTTGCAGAATTAATATTG